AGGTATTTGAAATGAACAAATCATTGGTTTTGCATAATTCTATCATGCGTTCTCCAGCATCATTTCTATCACCAAGACCATATTTTTCAATTACTGATCCTTCCTCTTTGCTCCCAACCTTTGCATTCCAATCACCAGTAATGAACAATACATCTTGATTGCATGTTTGATCGATTTCAGATTGAAGAACTTGGTAAAATTCTTCTATTTCTTGTAGCTTGGTAGTATTGAGAGATTTATCTTAAAGGTCACTAATTCAGATGTCCATTGATTCAAATCTACTGTTTTGCTCTTTCAGTGTATTGTCTGTTTCTGAGCTCTTATATTGATCTTCTGGATTTCTATTTGCAGGTTTTGTATTGTTTCAAAGTTTGTGTTTATTTTCTTTCTTCTTTTAGTGTTTTCCTAAATTTTTCAAAACATTTTTCTTTGTTTTCCTTGCTTCCCTTGATCTTTTTATCCATTGAAGGTTCCTAAATATCAGTCCTTTGAATTATTTCTCAGGTAATTGCATTATAATTTTTTTCTGCAGAAATATTTTCTCGCTCTGCACCTTGGGCATTTGTTTGAACCACTCTCTCTTTTCATTGTGTGAGCTAAAACCTTCTCTTTTATCCAAGGCTTTGTGGTATCATTGTATTTGAATTTAACTGGTGATTGCATGTTGGTATATTCTTAGGCTCTCACCACCTGTCTCCTGGTGGGTTTCATCAAAGAATGGAAGCATGTACAAAGTTTCTTGTTCACCTTTCATGCAGCTCAGTTTAGGGTGGGTTTGACTGAAACTTAGATGTTGTCTATTTTCGGGCCACTTCATCCAGAAGTAGTTCTTAGAGGCCCTTCAGGTTTCTAGTTTCAGTGTTTATTAGAACCAGAGGGTAGCTGGAACAGGGTGACTGATTATGAAGGTTCCTGCTAGTCTAATTGTGGCCTGGAGACTCTGTGGGTTCTGTAGATATGGGGCAGAGTCCTCCTAAATGCAGGCCCCAGGCTGGTGCAGCAAGTACCAGCCTCACACTTGCTCAAATCCCATGGCTCTGAACTCCCAGAGAGTAGGGTCTGTGTTGTGGGTAGATGAAGGTGGAGGCCATCCTCACCTCTGTTATCCACGGGAGTGTGAGGAACAGAAAGGAATCACAACTTTTCTTTTCTGTTACCCGGGTGAATCTGCATTGTCATGCAGGCCACTGTTTGTCTGTTTCTCCAAAGCTATTTGCAAAAGTTCAAGATGGTCTCTCTACATCTGGCTTGCAGTCCATTCATCATTTCCTTTCACTCCTCCTGCTCAATTTCTCCTCCCAGTAGGTATTCAATCCAGTTTTCTACCCTTTCTTCTGAAGTTTAGGGTTCCAGGATTGTCTTCTTTGTCTGTTCAATTGGTGGTGGTGGTGGTTATGTGCCATGGAGTCGATTCCAACTCTTAGCCACCCTATATGTAGTTTCCCAGGCTGTAAATCTTTATGGGGACAGAAAGCCTCATCTTTCTCCCATGGAACCACTGGTTGTTTTGAACTGATGACCTTGAGATTAGCAGCTGGACTTGGAACTACTATGCTACCAGAACTCCTTGTCTGTTTAATTAGGTCCCGTTATCTTTGTTGTAGAGGGTCTCTGTAGAGTGACTGCCTAGCCCGCCATCTTGATGGAAGTCAAGCCATAACTTCAATCACCTCATATGCATGTGAAAGTTGGACAACGAATAAGGAGGAACATAAAAGAAACAACAATGTATTTGAATTGGCAAAGAATATTTAAAGTATCACGGACTACCAGAAAAATAAACAAATCTATTTTGGAAGAAGTACAGCCAGAACGTTCCTTAGAAGCAAGGATGACTAGACTTCATCTCTCATGCTCTGGGTGTGTTTGGAGGGACTAGTCCATGGAGGACATTATGTTTTGTAAAATGGAGGGTCAACAAAACAAAAAAAGGAAGACCCCCAACAAAACACTGTGATAACAACAATGGGCCCAAACAGAACAAAAATTGTGAGGATGGCACAGTGTTTTGTTCTGTTGTGCATAGAGTTACTATGAGTTGGAATCGATTTACAACAGTGAGTAATGGTTTGGAACTGTACTTCGTGGGTTTGTTAGCTGCCTGAATGTTTTCTTAGGTACATTAAAAATGTATGTTCATGTCCTATGCCCAGTTTTTAATTGGATTGTTTATGATTTTACTGTTGAGCTGTTAACATTTTCTATAAATTTCAGAGATTAGCCCCTTGTCTGATATGCTCTTGCCAAAATTTTTTTCCAGTCTGTAGGCATTCTTTTTACTCTTTTGGCAAAGTCTTTTTCTGTGTGTGTGTGCTTCATATGATGCATTTATTTTCTTAATAAAAAGCATTAAAAATCATATTACCAGCTATGATTGACAAAAATTTTGAAAAGCATTTTAGTCCCTGTTATCAATAGATTTGCATAATTAAGTATTATTATCTTATAAACATGCTTTGAGATTCCACACAGTCATTACATAAAAACATTCTTAAGTAAAAAGGAATATAATTTGGCAAAGTCTTTTGAGATGTGTATAAACACACACGCACATATATGTATATATACATTTTTTTAAGGTGGTCCCAGTCATCTAGTTTGTCTTCTGCTGTTTGTACAGTTTTAGTGCCATGTGATTGTATATTTATACCATGTATTGTTGTTGTTGTTGATGTTGTTATGTGCCATGGAATCGGTTCTGACTCATAGCGACCCTGTACAGGGTTTCCGAGGCTGTAAATCTTTTCGGGAGCAGAAAGCCTCATCTTTCCCCCCATGGAACAGCTGGTAGTTTCAAACTGCTGACCTTGAGGTTCGCAGCCCGATTATAGAGTCCCTAAATTCTCCTGTAATTTAATGTGATGATCTTTTTACTTTCATGTTGTGCATTTATGTCTTTGATCCATTTTGCATTAGTTTTTGTACATGATCAGAGATAGGAGTCCTTTTTTTCCGCAAATAGATCTTCAGTGTTGCCAGCATCATTTGTTAAAGAAAGTCTTTTCTCTCTATTTAATGGCTTTCAGCAGTTAGTCAAAGTGGATGGGTTTACTTTATGGCTCTCAGTTCTGTTCCATTGTTCTGTGTCTGTTGTTGACTACAGTGGCTGTATATAGTAGGTTTTGAGATGAGGGAGTGGGAGGCCTTTTACTTTGTTCTTCTTTGGCTGTGCTTTGATTTCCTTTCTATATAAAGTTGGTGATTCGTTTTTCCATGTCTTTAAAGAATGATAATGGAATCTCTAATGAACCCTGGTGACACAATAGGATAGACACTGGACTTTTAATCACAAGGTTGGTAGTTCAAACTCACCAACTGCTCTGTAAGAGAAAGGTGGTATTTTCTGCCCCAGTAAAGATTTACAACTTCAGAAACCCTCTATGGAGTAGTTATGAGTTAGAGCTGATGCAATGGCATTAGCAACAACAAAAATCATATTCTGGGGGATAAAAACTATTTTAAACATAACCCATGTCACAGTATTTTTGCAATCTGAAATGCTTACTAATATGATCTGTGTTTATATGTTTTATTTCAGTATGGACCAATATTTACAATTTTTGCTGTTGGAAACCGGATGACTTTTGTTACTGAAGAAGAGGGAATTGAAGTGTTTCTAAAATCCAAAAAAGTAAATTTTGAACTAGCAGTGCAAAATCCCATTTATCGTACTGGTAAATGTTTTTCTTTTTCTTTCTTAAAAAAGTTCATTTGAAATACATTATAATCCAAGAATTTTTTTCATGAAAAAATTACGTTGTCTCTCTTCTACAAAGAGTAAGGGCAGAGAGTGAAAGAGTATATCATAAGTTTGTCGGGATATTGAAAAACAGATTGTTGGTAGCAAAAAGAAACTTAAATTAGCTCTTTGTAGAAACTGTAGTTACGTCTCTGATGTTTTCTTTGGAGAATATTTGGAACCTGTATCATGTTGGAGCTCCTAAGGTAATGCTGTCTTCTGTTGCTTGCATATATACCATTCTACAGGCTACCCTCGGAGCCCTGTACAGGGTCGCTATGAGTCGGAACCGACTCCACGGCACACAACCTCCACCACCACCACAGGCTACATACACTTCTGGCTTGATTACATGTTGCTACTCTGATTTTGAAAGTAGACCTTCACTGCTTACTAAACCCTTTACTATGTCATTTCCTGACATGTCCTATATGGCCGTTAAGGTCAGTGGAGCTTGGCTTGCCCTCTCACAATTTTGAATCTCCAGAGACCACTGGTCAGCATGCTTCCAGTGTGGCTATTTTTATTTCTTATCAGACTGTTAGCATGTATGCCGACCCCTGACCACCACAAGAATGCAGAGCAGGTTCATTTGTGCCTGGGTCTTTTCTCTCCTTCTACAAAGACTGTGCTTGTTCTAACCATCTGTGTGTGGATCCTTTCTGCTTTCCTGTTTTGTGTTTTCCCTTTCTTCTTGATTTTTGTTGTTGCTAATTTTATACATTTTTCTTTTTATGTAGTCTTTTATGTATACCTTGCCTAAGACAAAAATAAATTAATAGGTAAATAAGTTGTTTTAGAAGCTATTAGTGGGCTCATGGAGGGTCCCTGGAAGCCATGATGGATGAGACTTTCTCTAAAACTGCCTACCTGGCTAGAGAAGGGTTGTTCACATTCAGCCTCAACCTCAGGTTCAAAATTCGGATCCCAGTGGGTTTGCTGGCTGTGCTGAACGTTGAAGTAGAAAAAAATTGAGGATCAGAAGATCTATATCTCCTGTGTCTCTCAGAGCAGAGACCAGCAGACAATTTATGCCAAGTCCTCAACAGTTTTCCTTCAGCTGCAGTTGGAAGAGGACTCATCCTAGTAGCAGTCACTCAGCCTGCAGGAGGACCTACCTCTGATCAGCTGGGCTGCCTGGGACCCACCACAGAGCCAGGAGGGGTCCCCAGGAAGCGACTGGTGAAGTGAAAGAGAGCCCTTTCCTCTGACTCAATAAAGTCTCACAGCGCCCCCCCCAAAAAAGAAGCTATTAATGATCAAGAAGAGT